ACTTATTTCAGCCCTTGATACCTCGCTTGCCTACATAGTTTACTGGGAATGGTAATACCTTCCTCACGGTTCTCCTGAGGATTAAATTAGTACATATATTGTATTAGAGTTCTCCAGAGAAATAGAAACAACAGGATGTGTGTGTGTGTGTGTGTGTGTTGTGTGTATTGAGAGAGAGAGAGAGAGAGAGAAGAGAGGTTAAGAAAGAGATTTTAAGGAATTGGCTCATGAGATTGTGCAAGTCTGTTAAATCTAAAACCTGTAGGTCAGGTCAGTATGTCACCCTGGGAACAGTTGCAGTTTGAGCCAAAAGCTCTGCTACCAGAATTCCTTTCTATCCTAGGAGAAGGCGGCCTTTAGTCTATCAAGGCCTTCAACTGACTGGATAAGGTTTACCCACATTCTGGAGGGTAATCTGCTCTAATTTAAATTAAATGTTAATCTCATTTAATAAACACCTTCACAGGGGACACCTGGGTTGCCCAGGGGTTGAGTGCCTGCCTTTGGCTCAGGGCATGATCCTGGAACCAGGGATCGAGTCCCACATCAGGCTCACCACAGGGAGCCTGCTTCTTTCTCTGCGTGTGTCTCTGCCTCTCTCTCTGTGTCTCTCATGAATAAATAAATAAAATCTTAAAAAAAAAAAAAACTTCACAGAAACATTCAGAACGATATTTGGCTAAATATTTAAGCATAGTGGCCCAGCCAAGTTACATAAAATTAGGCATAAGTCCATCCCTTGTCTCCTTGGCACCTATATTCATCTCCCTAAACCATACTTAATATCTGAATAAAAACAATAACAAGGTCATACTTCCACTTAACATGACACAACTATCCTGCATAAAACAAAAAAATACACGAATCCTTTCCCCAGAGGAGGATGCAAAGTCTTGCATGTTTACTTTTCTCCCTTATATCCCACAAATTAAATATTATGATGTAAAGTTAATAGTACATACTGTAAATTCAATACATATTACATAACAGTATAAAAAAGGAGCAAAGATATTTATATACATACAAACACAACAAAATAAACACTCATGACAATTATAGTCCTAATTTCTAAACCTGATCACATGGTTGTTGTGGGCATTTATAACTACCTTCTTCTACCACCCATTCCATATTTCCTTTGCCCTCGGCAAGCTCCTAACTGGTAATGGTTATTTGGTGGGGTCATCCAAACATTCATTCTTGGGTGTCTGGCCCATGAATAACCCCACCTTTATAGTTTGTAGTTTGCCATTCTCTTTAATCATAGGGTATGGTAATATTAAGAGACATCTCAAAGGATCTCCTATACTCTATATATACTCTTCCTTATCTCTGTTTTGGGGTAGCAGTCCAACTTCTCCTTGATAATCAAAATCAATAAACCCAGCCAGCATACCTACTCCCCTCTGCCTTTTGATTCAGAGAGATGAGAAACCCAAAGCAATTGGGTAGCAGGCTTAATTTATGGTTAAATGGAATCATTGTATCTCTTGGTGGAAGCATTCCTCCCTTTGGAACTAAGACCTCTGTGCAGCAGAGCACAGGCTGTGGGGAGGGGAAGCAAGTATTTTGCTATTAGGTCACCAGGGGTAGTAGTGAGTGGTGTCACTCCCATTTCTACCTCTTGATTCCTAGCCTTATGAATCCTGACTCGGAGAAACAGCACCAGAAAGTGGATGCTGATACCAGGGGATACACAGCCTTCTGTAGAACCATGCCCTAGCCCGGCAAGATACTGCTACCTAGATGGCATTGAGACTGAGTCTTCAAAACATCATTCCATTCTGCCAAGCCAGCTGCTTCAAAATGGTGGGGAACTTGTTAAGACCAGTGAATTCCATGAGGATGGATCCACCGCTGTGCTTCAATTACTGTGATATGAGTTCCTTGATCAGAAGTAATGCTGTTTAGAATACCATGATAGTGGATAAGGCATTCTGTAAATCCACTGATGGTAATTTTGGCAGATGCATTATATACAGTATAGTCAAATCTGTATCCAGAGTGTCTGTTCTGATAAGGAAAAGAAAATATTGCTCCTTCCATAATGGAAGCAGTCCAGTGTAATCAACCTGCCACCAAAGAATGGTGCTATATCAGAGAATCAGTGTTGGTCTCTGCGGCTGACAGATTGGGGATTCAGCAGTGACTGTAACTAGGTTGGGCTTAATGAGTGGACACTCATGTTGCAGAACCATGGATAACTGCCATCCCTGCCACCATGGCCACTTTGTTCAAGAACCCATTGAGTGATGACAAGGGTAGCTAAGGAAAGAAATCATGTAGTGTCACAGCCTGGGTCATTCTATACACCTTCTTAAAATCCTCCTCTGCTGAGCATTTAATATGGGACACAAATAGCTTCACTTTTACACATTAAGAGAGCTCTGTACCTCTTTTCTAGATTTCCTTCACATGAATTTGCCAATCACGTTCAAGTTCCTGACCACCCAGCCAAGCCACTGGCCATAGCCTGTATGTAATTGCACATCTGATCATTTTTTCTTCCAAGCAACAACAACAACCAGGTGCACTGCTCAAAGCTCTGACCAGTAGGATTACTTGTGCCTTCAGGGCATACTTGGCTTAATCACTTATGATTTTATGAGTGCTGCTCTACACAACCTACACACACCAAAGCCTTCTCTTGTTCTGGGCCCTATTAATGGTTTGTTGGGTCAGATTACACCCAGTTTATGATGGTAACTTGGTGGCCCATGGTTTAGTGTTTAGTCTCTAAGGCCCAGTAGCAGGCCAAAACTGTTTTTCAAAAAGTGAGTAGTTAACTACAGAGAATGGCAAGACTGCTTCAAAATCCTAAGGGCCTGAACTGTGACCCATGTATAGGGTCCTGTCAAAGGCTCCAGGCAGCATCACTATCTGCCTCTGATATTTTTAAGATTTGAAAGAGAGAAAGAGATAGGGAGAGAGAGCACACAGGGAAGAGAGGGAGAAGCAGGCTCCCTACTGAGCAGGGATGCCAATGCAGGGGCTCAATCCAGCACCCTCAGATCATGACCTGAGTCCGAGGCAGATGTTTAACCAACTGAGCCACCCAGGTGCCCCTGCCTCTGATATTTCAAACAACCTTGGATACAGGGCTTTATGGCCCAAGAGGCAAAGTGCTTGTATTTTTTGGACTTGCGGCAGAGTCAGAGCCTTCTCTTGTTCTGGGCCCTACTCAAAACTAGCAGCTTTTCACATGACTTGGTAAATGGGCTGAAATAACACACCCAAATGAAGAATAGATTGCCTCCAAAATCCAGAGGTTCATTAGGCTTTGTGCCTCTTTTTTGGTTGTGGGAGCCAGATGCAATGACTTATCCTTCATCCTTAGAAGGGATATCATGACATGCCACACACCACTGGACTCCTAGAAATTTCACTGAGGTAGGTAGACCTCTAACTTTTTGTTGGATTTATTTCCCAAACCTGACACATAGAAGTCTTATCAGTAAATCTAGAGTGGTTGCCATTTCTTGCTCACTAGGCCCAATGGCATAGTGTCATCAATGTATCTGACCAGTGTGACATCTTGTGGAAGGGAAAGACAATTAAGATTCCTGTAACTAAATTATTATCACTGTAAACTAAATTATAGGGCTGAAGAGCTGATGTACCTCTGAGATAGAACATGGAAGGTATATTGTTCTTGCCAAGTGAAAACAGTTGTTTCTGGTTGTCTTTATTAACAGGGATGGAGGGGGAAAAATTGCTAGATCAGTAATCATATAGGAGGTACCAGGGAATGTGTTAATTTGCTTAACTGATGAAATCACACGTGGTAAAACAGCTGCAGTTGGAGTCAATAACCAGCTTATGATAACCCATTGTCATTCACCAAGATTCCTCTATCTGCAGAGGCCAAATAGGCAAGTTGAATGGGGATATGGTGGGAATCACCATCCCTGCATCTTTAAAGTTCTTTTAAATTTAAAAAGTTTTTTTAAAGATTTTATTTATTCATTCATGAGAGACACAGAAAGAGGCAGAGACAGAGGCGGAGGGAGAAGCAGACTCCCTGCTGGGAGCCTGATGTGGGACTGGATCCCAGGACCCCAGGATCACAACCTGAGCCAAAGGCAGACGCTCAACCACTGAGCCACCTAAGAGCCCCTCTTCAAAATTCTTAATAGTGGCACTAATCTCTGCAGTCCCTCCAGGAATGCAGTATTCTTCTGGTCTATTATTTTATTTTATTTTTTTAGATAGAGGCAGTTTTAGTAGTTTACAGTTGTCCTTTCCTCGCTCAACAGGCCAGAGAGACAGTTGCTGAGTATGTCTGTTGCAATTATCCATTCAAGAACTGGAGGAGAAACCACAAGATGGGTTCAGGCACCTATTGGATCTGCTGTGAGATGGACCTTAGCTAAAACAACACTGATCACCAGACCTCCTTAAGTCCCTACCCTGACTGGTAGACCAGTAAGGTTCTGGGTCTCCTGGAATTAGTGTCAGCTCAAAGCCAGTGTCTAAGGTCTAATTATTTCCTTTTCCTCAATGTATGGTCACCCTGGTAAAAGCTGTGGGTTTTTGGGGAAAGCATGTGGGAAAATTATCAGCATAAATTTTTGGCAGTGTAACCTTTTCACTCAAGAGGTTCTGGGTCTGCATACTGGGTCAAGTCTGAGAATTGACTGATAGTCCATGACCTTTTATTATTCAAGTTAGGCTTTTGTTCACTTGACTGGAACTCTTTCACTTATACAGAGTAAGAATTAAGACTCCCATCTATTTCACTTCCACCAAAGAATACCATATTCCCAATTACCCTATAACAGAGATTTAAAAAATTCTTTCATGATCATTTTGCATTCATAATAATTTCATATTTTTAAAATCCATGTTTCAAGTTACTTAGATTTTTAAAAATTTCTATTGGAAACTTAATTTTCAAGTAAAATCTATGCTTCAGGAAGCTTAATGATCATCTTTTTTGAGGTAGGTAAAGAAGGTTAGAGTAGGTATCACCTCATACTCAATCTCACACATAATATTTCAGTCACTTATATAGTTACTATATTCAGATCGCAACCAAATACATTATCTTCCAAAATCCAGATTTTAAGTTGCATTCAAACACACAAAAACAAATTTACCAGATCTCACGTGATCTCCCAATCGTACTCATTTAAAACCGACACGTTATCAACCTTAGAGTCACAATGTTTAATCACCTGCCCTTGCACTATCATACAATTCATTTAGAGATGAGTACAATCACAAACCACTTTCCCATACTTGTACATTTCACTCAACACCTTTGACAATACCAAGTGCAACCAACGCATACATGTGACCAAGTATCAGACCCAGAAACACAACCACTTGTTCTCACCGATACATTTCTTCACATGGCACTTTGAGATAGGGTTTCTGGACTTAAGCAAGGTTAAAAAAATCTTTAGATTTGCCCCTTCTAGCAGATAATCTGTACTGGCTTCCACCCTCTCAGTCAACTCTGGTTTCTCACACACAGAGCTCACAGTGTCGCTTCATGCCTCTCCCACGCATAAGTGTAAGGATCAAGGTCAGCTCTGCCTGGCCCAGGGATCGGTTTCATCCATCAGGGTTCACACAGACAAACACACACACATCCCGGTCTCAGGGAGACCAACCTCCTCCCTTCTTGCGACAGACACCCACCGCAGCCAACTGCTCCTACTAGTCATAGGTGGACCCAACACGGCCTCCCACAGAACGTTACAAGTTTACTGCCCGTAGAGTCGCGCCGCCCATAGGCACGTGTAATCAATCACACAGTCCCCTCACTCCTAAACCACGTTAGATCACAGCACTCCACAATCCCTGCACGTGGCCGAGTTCACCGCGTGAACCCACACGGGTATACAGCACAACCACTATTTCCAACGGTCTCAAAAACGTTTCACTAACCAATATCCTCACTCCGGCACCCTGAGACTCCTCACCCTCTTCGGACTCATAAAACACATCTCGCACCGCCACCTTACAGACGAAGGCCGGATTCCCCCGCATCAGACAACAATTCTCTCAAACCACAGCACGTGCGCGTCCACCTTGAAGGGGGTAGGGACAGCCACAGTGCCAGGCTCGAAATCCTCCCTCAGAGGAATCCGAGGTCCCAAATTCAGACCCAAAATTCGGCACCAAGCCTTGGAAACGAAGAGGTTGTAGCGTCACTCCAGGACTGCGTGAAACTGAGCAGGTGCATCCCGAAACCTGGCGGAAGGTTTACCTCTTTCAGCGCCTGGGCTCTTTCCTTTCGGACTACGTTTCCCAGAGGACACAGCGGTGCAAAGCTACTTCCGGTAGGAACGTCTGCGGAATGGTCGGCGGCTGAGGCAGGTGAGGACTTTACCCGACCAGCAGGGCGTGCGAGGCTAGGCGCGCGGCCTCGCCTGGAATGCGAATCCGAGTTTGGACCAGCGCCCTTCCCGAGGATGCTGAAGGTAAGGAATCCTGGAGCTCAAGGCCTGGATAAGAGGAGTATCTGGAGTGTTAGGCCTCCAAAGTGCGGGAGCTGCTTAGGGAGGATAGGTTGGGTTGTTTTGAGTGCGTGAAGGAAACTATGAGTTTGTCTCTGGACTGAGTGTATTTGGTTCTGGTGATAGCGACTGGGTTCGGGATCGTGCTTTTGTGGCAGTTTAATTGTCTGAGTGACGATTTGTGTGAATGGAGTTTGTATGTGATGGTGACCATGACTGCGGGTGGCTATTGTGTTCCTGCATAAAAGGAAAAAAGCACAATTACACAAGCCGTTACACTCAGGCTCACGGAGTCAGGCAATAAGGGAGACTTTCCAATATTCACCTGTAGATTCACACAACCAAAGACAAAAAGACAATCCAACCCACGTTTGTCATCATCACACAACCTCAGACACAGCCACATATATATCATATAGTAAAACAAACCGAACAGTCACTCCCCAACCACAAACTGACTTTATGCCCACTTAGCCCTCATCCCCAACACTTATCTGAAGAACTCAAGCATATCACCAAATGTTAAAGAGTCATAATTACCATGGTCACAGACACTGTCGCACTCCACATCACCCACAAGGTCACACAATGTTTGAGCTTCAAGAAAGTCTTGGTTAGGGGCACCTGGCTGACTTAGTTAAGAGCTTGGGATTCTTGATCTTGGGATTGTGACTTCAGCTCCACCTTGGATTTGGAGATTACTTAGGAAAGGCCTCGTGTCTCATAGTTCTTTTTTTTTTTTTAAAGATTTTATTTATTTATTCATGAGAGACACACAGAGAGGCAGAGACAGGCAGAGGGAGAATCAGGCTCCCTATGGGGAGCCCCATGTGGGGCTTGATCCCAGGACTCCGGGATCATGCCCTGAGCCGAAGGCAGATGCTCAACCACTGAGCCACTCAGATGTCCTTCATACTTCTCTACCTCACTACTTCTGCCATTCTCCTTAGAAACACCTTAGAGTAGGAGGAAAGAATGGTACTCTTGCTCATCCAAAATCAGTCTAATGATTAGGAGCTGCTTCTTACCTGAAACGTTCATAAAAACTTTTAAAATTCCTTGTTATATTACTTTATTTAAAGTAAAAGTTAAAAGTTGTCTATGATTCTTCAGCCACTCAAAGCAATTTTTAAAATAATTTATTTATTCATTTATTTATTTATTTGACAGAGAGAAAAAGGGAACAGTGAGCAGGGGGAGGAGCAGAGGGAGAGGGCCAAGCCATCCCACATGGGGTTTGATCCCACAGAGATCATGACTGGAGCCAGAACCAAGAGTGAGACGTACAACCACCTGAGCCACCCAGGCACCCTCACTTTGAATATCTTATTATAAATACTTTCACCTTCTTTATATACATATATATATGCCTACGTATGTATGTATTTTTCCCTAAAAGATTAGACACATTCGGGGATCCCTGGGTGGCTCAGCAGTTTGGCGCCTGCCTTTGGCCCAGGGCGCGATCCTGGAGTCCCGGGATTGAGTCCCACGTCAGGCTCCTGGCATGGAGCCTGCTTCTTCCTCCTCCTGTGTCTCTGCCTCTCTCTCTCTCTCTCTCTCATAAATAAATAAATAAATCTTAAAAAAAAGATTAGACACATTGGTTTTGTAATTCTTTATTACATGATATTTAGGTCTTTTGTCTGTATTCAGGAATAAATTTCAGAAGATTTTCCAGGATGCTTACAGGTGTACTTTTTAAAATTCTCACCAGTACTCCAAACTAAAGTCTCAAGTATTCATTTGGTCTGGAATTTTATATATATATTTATATATATAGAGAGAGAGATCACATGTGCACATGTGTGGGGGAGCTGAGTGGGGAGGGAGGTGAGAGGGAGAATTTTTTTTTTAAGATTTTTTATTTATTTATTCATAGAGACACAGAGGGAGAGAGAGAGAGAGAGGCAGAGACACAAGCAGAGGGAGAAGCAGGCTCCATGCAGGGAGCCCGACGTGGGACTGGATCCTGGGTCCCCAGGATCACACCCCAGGCTGCAGGCGGCTCTAAACCGCTGCGCCACGGGGGCTGCCCGAGAGAGAGAATTTTAAGCAGGCTTTAGGCTCAGCCCAGAGCCCAGTGTAGGCTGATTCCTTTTTTTTTTTTTTTAAGATTTTATTTATTTATTCATGAGAGACACAGAATATGAGAGAGAGGCAGAGACACAGACAGAGGGAGAAGCAGGTCCCATGCAGGGAGCCCGATGTGGGACTGGTTCCCGGGTCTCCAGGATCACAACCTGGGCTGCAGGTGGCGCTAAACCGCTGAGCCACTCGGGCTGCCCGGTAGGCTGATTCTTGTGACCTCAGCCAAAATCAAGACTATCGCTTAATTGCCTGTGCCACTCAGGCGCCCTGGTCAGGAAATTTTTGTTCTATTTATTTCTTCTTTTTTGTCTGTGTTCCATCAGTCTCTATTTTTGAAATTCCTGTGAGTTATGCAGTAGGTCTTTTAGATCGTTTTCTATTTCCCTAATCTTTTTGTAATGACCATTTCCTTTTCCTCTTAAACTCATCGAGGATCTTGTCAGTAGACGTCTGAATAGGTTGGTTGGGACCATTTTGTTATAGGGACACTGGTCTGCCTCTCTAAATCTGTCCTGCTGAAAAGCCTGGACCCAGTCTTTCTTGAATCCATCCCACTATTCCTGGCTTCCTTCCTGTTTTGAGTAAGGTTGGGATTTGTCCAATTTCCCTCTTACTTTTTATGTGTATGGGGACTGGGCATAGAAGATACGAAGAGGGAAGAAAAATGTCATTCTATATTAGCACTTCGGAAGCTAAGAAGCAAGATCATCACATGTCTTTTTTTTAAACCCCTCTCATCCAGCAACATTTTCTTTGGACTGTGAATTTCTTCTAAAGTGAAACTAAGAAGAGGACTAATACATTGAATTCTTAAAAAGCCATGGCCAATGTAAGTTGATTTTTTTTGGTTCCTAATTGATGTCCTTTTTTTCCGTAGTCATATGAATATTTGCATTCTTTATCCTGATATTGTTGCCTAAGTGAATATCCTACAATAACTTACAAGTGAGTAAGTGTTGGTTTCAAAACTTCAAGGTCTTCCTTTTTTGCTCCTCTCCTTTCTAACCAGTGTTCTTATACTCATTCAATACATCATTTTTCATTTCCCATATGCTCAGACTTTTGCCAGGGGAAGAGAACAGAAATAGTATTCTTTTGAGGGAAATATTGATGTTTCTCTTGTCAGAACTTTGGTTTGATGAGGTGATTTAACAAATATTTTTGAGTACCTACTGTGTGACAAGCACACTTCTAGGTAACTATGAATAAATTGGTGGGGGAAAAAATCAGACACATACAAATCATCCCTTGTAGAACTTAACTTGTAGTGAGAGAGACAAAAATAACTTAAGTACTACCAGACTTAGATTTTTTTAAAAGATTCTATTTATTTATTTGAGAGAGTGAGGGAACACAAGTGGGGGTTAGAGGGAGAGAGGGGGAGGAAGAAGCAGATTCCCTGTCTAGCAGGGAGCCTGACATGGGCTCGATCCTCAGGACCCTGAGATCATGAGCTGAAGACAGACACTTTAACTGACTGAGCCACCGTGGCACCCCAAGACTTAAGATTTAAGACACAGATACATACACACACACATATATGAACAAATGAACAAAACAATTACAAGATAAAGCTAAGACCAAAAAACAAATATATGTCCTATCAATAAATGTATATGAATTTTAACTCACAAAAGAAAAAGGCTTTTAGGTTGAGTCTCAAAGAAAAACTCAACTCTTTGCACTCAGAGACTCTGAGATACTTAAATGACTCAGAAAGTTTAATGAAAGGATGGATAAATTATGCCAGACAAATGGAAACTAAAAACAGACAAAAATTCAGGCCACATAACACCATTAAACATGGCAAAGGGTAGTATATAATTCTAAGGCATACATTTCAAAATGAAGATAACATAGTTGTAAATACACATATATCAAATATTATAGCATCAAATTTCCTTGAGCAAATAGGAAAGCAGATAGAAGGAAGTAGTAGAGGACCTAATTAACCCTTTCAAAGTCAAGCCAAGTAGACAAATTTAGTAAGGATGAAACACTCCATCAAATCTACCTAATTGATATATATTCAATTCTATATCCTAGTAATAACAAATATATGTACTTTTCAAGTGTCCATAGACCAATCAGGAAAAATGACGTAATATTAGGCTACAATAAGGTCCAAGTAAGAAGAAATGATATACCATATTCTCTGAACACAATGAAATATAGCTAGGATTTAATAACAAAATCAGGATCCCTGGGTGGCTCAGCGGTTTAGCGCTTGCCTTCGGCCCAGAGCGTGATCCTGAAGTCCCAGGATCAAGTCCCACATTGGGCTCCCTGCATGGAGCCTGCTTCTCCCTCTGCCTGTGTCTTTGCCCCCCTCTCTCTCTGTGTGTCTCTTATGAATAAATAAATCTTTAAAAAAAATCAGAAAAATAAAGTTATTCTTACCAACATTTTATAAAATCTCAATTCCTGGATCAAAGATGAAATACAATCCAAAAGTAAAGAATTTTGGGGCAGCCCTGGTGGTGCAGCGGTTTAGCGCCGCCTGCAGCCCGGAGTTTGATCCTGGAGACCCGGGATCAAGTCCCAGATCAGGCTTCCTGCGTGGAGCCTGCTTCTCCCTCTGCCTGTGTTTCTGCCTCTCTCTCTCTGAATAAATAAATAAATCTTAAAAAAAAAAAAAAGTAAAGAATTTTGGGATCCTTGGGTGGCTTAGGGGTTTAGCACCTGCCTTTGGCCCAGGGCATGATCCTGGGGTCCCAGGATTGAGTTCCATATCGAGCTCCCTGTATGGAGCCTGCTTCTCCCTCTGCTTGTGTCTCTGCCTTTCTCTCTTTCTCTGTGTCTCTCATGAATAAATAAATAAAATCTTTAAAAAATAAAAATAAAAGAATTTCTGGTACTCTGTGATAACACTACATTTTGGAACCCATAGGATTTAGTTAAAGTAAGACTCTAAGGGCAAAGTTACAGTTTTAATGCTTCTAATAAAATAATGAAAATATATAAATTGAAAAGAAGTAGAAGGAATTATGGAAGGAATTATAAAGATAAAAATTTTATGTGTTAGAAAATAGGAAAAACATAATTAATGAGATAATAATATAAATCTTAAATTAGGAAAGAAAGAGAAAGCATAATATAAAAATTTAAAAAGCAGAAAATCCACAGAAACAAAGGAACTAAAAAGAATCTGGAAAAAGTACATTATTGGATTATTTGCAAATACATTTTATTTATTCACATATATACCATTTTTAATTGCTCTTGCTTCTTGAGATCTGAATTTCTATTTGGTGTCATTTCTTTTTAACTTGAAGATCTTCCTTCTGCATCTACAGTTTGTGTCTTCTCATGATAAATAGTCTCAGCTTTCTTTATTTGAAAATGTCTTTATTCCACCTTAATTTATAAAATAAGTCAGGAAATGCATCCTCTTCTATTTTCTGGAAGAATTTACTGAATTGTATTATTTCTTCCTCTATTGTCTGATAGAATTCAACAACAAAGGCATCTATAGTAAGCAGAATAATGACCCCCAGAGATGTCTACATGCTAATACTGGAACCTGTGAATATGGTGCCTTATGTGGCAAAAGGGAATTTGCAGATGTTATTAAATTAATGATTTTGAGATAGGGAGATTATTTTTGATTATCTGAAGAATCAGGATCAGAGGGAGTGTGAGAATGGAATGTGCATACTCCTGTTAGTGAAATGAAATGTTACTGGCTTTGAAAATGGAGGAAGGGGACAGCCCCGGTGGCCCAGCAGTTTAGTGCGGCCTTCAGCCTAGGGCATGATCCTGGAGACCCAGAATCGAGTCCCATGTTGGGCTCCCTGCTCGGAGCCTGCTTCTCCCTCTGCCCTTTCTCTCTCTCTCTCTCTCTCTCTCTCTCTCTCTCTCTCTCTGTCATGAATAAATAAATAAAATCTTAAAAAAAAAAAAAAGGAAAATGGAGGAAGGGGGCCATGAACCATGTAAGAGGCCTCTGGAAGCTAGAAAAGGCAAGAAAATAGACTCTTTCCTAAAGCCACCAGAAAGGTACATAGCCCTGCTGACATCTTGATTTAGTCTAGTGAAACCCTTGTTGGACTTCTTTTTTTTTTTAATATTTTATTTATTTATTCATGAGAGGCACAGAGACAGAGAGAGGCAGAGACACAGGCAGAGGGAGAAGCAGGCTCCACGCGGGGAGCCCGACGCAGGACTCGATCCCAGGTCTCCAGGATCACGCCCTGGGCCCAAGACAGGCGCTAAACCCCTGAGCCACCCGGGGATCCCCCTTGTTGGACTTCTAACATATATATCTGTCAGATAATAAATCTGTTGTTTTAAGTTACTATATTTGTTACAGCAGCAGTAGTAAGTAAATGCACCATCTGAATTTGGAGTTTTCTTCATGGGGAGGCTTTAATTTCTTTAATTGATCTAGGGCTTTTGGGGGTTTCATTTCTTTTTGAATCAGTTTAGTAATTTGTGTCTTTCAAGAAATTCATTTATTTCCATTTAGATGTCAAATTTATTAGCATAAAGTTGTTTATAATATTCCCTTATTATCCTTTTAATGCCTGTCAGATCTATAGTAATGCCCCCTTCTTAATTCCTGATGTCAATAATTTGTCTTTTTTCTTGTTTGTATATGTATTCTAAAATACATCAGTATTTTATTGATGTTTTCAAAGACTAGCTTTTAGTTTTATTAATTTTTCTCTACAGTTTGCCTTTGCCTTCATTGCTATTTCATTAATTACTGATCTGATTCTTTCCTTTTTTTCTGTGTATTTTGGGTTTAATTTTCTCTTCTTTTTTGAGTTCAAATTCTTTTTTCTTTTACCCGTGCGCTATTTTGAAGAGTGTTCTTTAACTTAAAAATTTAGGGGGACTTTTTCAGATCCTTTTGAGAATTCATTTTTAACTTAATTCATAATTTAATTCTGTTGTGGTCAGAGAACATACTCTGTGATATCAGTCCTTTTAAATTTATTGAAACTTATGACCTGAAATGTGCACTATCTTGGTGACTGCTCAATGTGCATTTGAAAGAAAAAGGGGTTATACTATTGCTGGATAGAGTGTTTATCAGTTAGGTCAAGTGTTTCGTAATAGTGCTCAACTCTTCTATATCTTTTTTTTTTTGGTCACTTAGTCTATCAATTACTGAGAGAGGACTGTTGAAGATTATAGATACAGCTGTTGATTTGTTACAGTTCTGTCAGTTTTGATAGCTGTTTCCATAGTGTAGCAGTTATCACGTTTGTCACACAATTCTGTCAGTTTTGCTTTATGTGTCTTGAAATCCTTTAGTAGATGCATGTATATTTAAGATTACTATGTCCTTGTTTTCCTTAAGTTTGTTTGGTTATTTATTTATTTTTAATGATCTCTACACCCTGTGTGGGGCTTGAACTCACAACCTGAAATCAAGAATTGCATGCTTAAAAAAAAAAAAAAAGTTGAATGGTTTTCCAACTGAGCCACCCAGGTACTCCAAGATTCCTATATCCTCTTGCTGAATTGACACTCCTTTATTATGAAATGTTCCTTTTGGTAATATTCTTTTTTTTTCTCTGCATTCTATTTATTAATATAACTGCTTCAGCTTTCTTTTATTGTTACTTTGTGGTATATCTTTTTCCATCTTTTTTTTTTTTATGATAGAGAGAGAGAGAGAGAGAGAGAGAGAGAGGCAGAGACACAGGCAGAGGGAGAAGCAGGCTCCATGCACCGGGAGCCCGACGTGGGATTCGATCCCGGGTCTCCAGGATCGCGCCCTGGGCCAAAGGCAGGCGCCAAACCGCTGTGCCACCCAGGGATCCCCCTGCACCACCCAGGGATCCCCTCCATCTTTTATTTTAACTTATTTTAAGTGTA